CCTGTTGGCGCCACCTTAATTGCCTCCCTGTCTGAAAATTCTGACCTAAAGAATCTTCCAATGGGTTTTTATCTACAGGTCTTTATTTTGAGCCAGTCTGTGGTTAGATGGAGGTAAGCCCAAAATACAACCACGGACTTTAAAATGTTAAAATCTGGTTGTTTGTTAACAATTAATAACGATGCACCACTTTGCTTTGATCACCAACAAAGATATAACATTCTTCATAAGAACACTCCCTCTAAAGAAGCATCTATACCAGAGGTTATGAACCACCAGACCAGGATCTGGACCGAACCGGATTTAATTCGATAACATTCTATAACATGGATGCATAAACACCTGCATTTTATCTCAGTGTTAAATTCTGTTTAAAGTAACAGATTACAATAAAAAATTTCTCCGGACCTTTACTGGTTGATGATTTTCTCTAGTCGGACTCCATAGATTTGTAATTGATTACCCCTGATCTATACCTTCAGTAACACGTCATGGCGGTTGGTCAGAACTAAATGATTGTACGCTATCGGATATTTCATCATATTTTATTGAAGTCCTACTCAGCCTGATCCGGCAGTGTGTCACCGGCCTGAGTCGGTACGCTCTCCAGGGAAAGGTGCGTTTCCAAGGACGTGTTGCCAGGGATGCTGAGAGTGGTGCTTGGCAGATTATTATTACCTCTGAGGACACGAGGCTGGCACCAGGCAGACCGCTCTAACAAGGTCAGTCTGCACAGCCTCATGTGTGAAAAACTGCAGGAGGCGGGAAGCTTTCAGGTTGCTGACTGAGCCAGAAGCCAGAGCAAGAAGGGCACATTTGGCCTTAATTGTTCTGGTAAACATTTGCTGATGGGTTTGTTAACCATTCATGGAGAATCACAACAACTCCCTGGATGTTGGAGAACTGCACCGCTGTGGGTTGAATGCCCCAGTGGGGAGGGTTAAGTGCTTTGCTCAAGGACGTGTCCAGATAGACTAAGGAATCAGTCCCTCAGGCCTCTGCTTAGACATTCATCATGGTCATTCTCTCATATTTTATTAGAAACAATCACCTCCAAACATCCTCCACCCTCCCCTCTGCTCCCTCCATCACTGTCTCCACCTCCCACGACTCGTATCCCTCAGCCGTCCCTGCTTTCCCACCACCCACAGCTGCTGTTATTACTGCAGCGAGCCGTGATGAATGTTCGGGGGAAGTGGGCGGAGCTGAACGAGGCGGAGGGATACAGCAGATTTCTGCTTTTCAGTTCACAAAACCTTTTTTTTTTTATGATAGTGACTGATTGGCCATTTGACTCCTTAGAGGGAATAGAACAGTTTTTTCTTTCACTGTCCTGAAGAAAAACACAGGAGGATTTTTACATGGTGAATTTCATCTATTCAGTTTAGATTTTTTAAACAATGAGATGTTTCTCTTCTGGGAAAATTAGTAGCAAACTCCTATGGTATAAATATGGACGATACAGTAAATATAAAAGACAGTGAACAAAATATTTAGTTTAGAGCAGGATTTTTTTTTAGAGTGAGCAGATTTATGTGTATTAACCACTGAATGGTGTTATTCCTCCATAACATCAATCTCTCTCTGGCAGAGCAAATATGGGTTTTAATTAGGGATGCAAGTTATCCATTAATTAATTAATCTTAAAGGTATTGAGGAGAATTGTCGCAAATTTTTAAAAGACCTACCGTCTCCACTTTAAAAACATACACATGCACCAGCCTGTAACCGCTCCCGAGAGGAAAAGGCCATTAATCGAGCACGCAGGAGCCCATTTCTCCTCATGCACGCTGTGTTAAAAAGTCGCTCTTCTCATAGCTCATACAAGCTTACTGTGTCTGAATGTCCGCTCCAAACCTTAAATCCCTCAATCATTATATAGAGCGGGGACTTTATAGCAAACTCACTTAACTTGACCATTTGGACAGAAGATCATCTTTGTTATTAGTAACCGCTGCAGGTTAGCGACAGAAAATCCCGTAGCTCACCACAGATATACGCCTGAAAGTGCGCACAAAAAGATAGCCAACGGGACGAGCACATAGGACGGCCTTACGTAAACATATCACCAGAATGATTGACAATTGGGAGGACCACTTATTTAGATGATCCACCAGGAAATAAAAGATCGTCCTCTATACCTTTAAGTTCAATTATCTCATCGCTTAACAAAAAATTTCAGTTTCCTCTTGTATCATATTGTATTTTGACGACCATAGGGCGCACCCTACTAAAATGCGCAGTCTCAGTTATGTGTGTCATTTCTGTATTTAACACACACATAAGGCGCACCGGATTATAGGGCGCGGGTTTTACATACCGGTACATATCCTCTACTACGTTTAAATACCTCTACTGCGTATATAAAAATAGAGCGAGGGCAAAAGTGAGTATGATTGTGCTTTATTCATGTATTACAAAGTATTAATCAAACCCATTAAAGTCATCATCCTCTGTTTCTGAATTAAACAGCTACGCTAAATCAGACATGCCAATTTCCCCTTCTTTGCTGCCAGAGTCACCCCGCCTTATGTACGCGGAAACTCAGCTGCGTCTTCTTCACCTGTCGGAGTTCGTTTTCCATCTTCCTCCACTTGCGAACCATCGATTCATTAATCTTGAATTCTCTCGCGGCTGCTCGATTTCCATGTTCCTCTGCGTAGCTGATAGCCTTCAGTTAAAACTGTGCTTCATAGGCATGTCTCTTTGCCATTTTCGGGGTTGTTAAGACAACAATGTTCTGCATAAAGCACATACCTGTTCTTTTATACACAATCCACGCCCACACGTTCCCCTTTAACGTTCTCATGGTGGTCTTAACAACGTCCGCAGTAACACATAGGGCGCACCGCACATTTTGAGGGGAAAAAAAAAGACGTTTATATGCGCCTTGTATTCGGGAAAATAAGGTAATATCTGCCTTTAACATGAAGGGCTAAATATTATTTTACAATATGCAGAGTTAAAAATTAACCCTCACATAATTATATTTTAAATATATTGTGTTCCAGCAGAATTAGATACTGACTAAATAAAATAAATATGTTTGATCAAACTTATCTATAAGATATAAAAAACAGGAACCTATTAGTTCACTAATAATCCATTAGGTTATTAAGCTAACACTACTGTTTAAACAGTAGCTTTAGGGATGCAGTTTGATCCATGTTTGCTTTGAAACTCATTCTAACCTTTATTTGCTTCCCAGCAGTAAAACTTATTGCGCCAACAGCAAACTGAGAGCTTATAGAGGAACACAGTGGCACAAAATAGATAAGAACCCCAATAAAATAATCGCACGGCTGAATCAAAGGTAACTACTGTGCCACCAAACAGGAAAGGGAAACTTTCGGGTTAGTTATATTTTTCTAGATAGAGAATAATGTTCTCCTCAATTTTTTGTTTTGCGTTCTTAAAGCAAGTTAAATATTTGTTATGCTATAAATTATCTTTTTTTTAATCCTTAACATGATAAAAGGCAGAGGCTTCAAAAACCTTAATGATTTGATCAAAATAGAATGAGGCTGTTTTAACATTAATATTGTCAAAAAAGTCATTAGTATTTTTAAAGATTTTCTTGCCAATATTTGTCTTTTAGCAAGAGAAGGTCAAAGGTCAAGCCGCACCCATGACGGCTGCATCAGGTCAGTATGATCTGGTTTGAAAGTTTGAGTAAACCTGAAAGAGTGGATTTTATTTCCCTAAACGCCAAAGTACTGAGAACAAAGGAGCACTTTTAAGGTGTAAAAACAGAAACACCCACATTTAGCACATTATTACTGTAGTGTTTACTTTAAAGCCTTTATTTCCGACAATTATTCTTTTAAAATCAAATGGAAGGTGAAAAAAAGCTTTATTTCTGATGTTTTAAGCATTTACTCCATGTGCTTTCATTTAAAAATGATTCAAAAGAACTCATATTAATTTACAACATTAAAAAATAGATCTGTTGGATTAGTTTCAGGTCCTTAAATTAAATTTGACAAGAATAGGAAAAAAAAAAAAAACAGAAATAACAAACAACAGACAAATCTCAGCTGTTTAAAACTGCTCTACATGCACGCTATGATTTTTCCTCATAAATCATACGTCATGACGGTACGGAACAAACCGTTCACTATACAACGAACCAAAAACAATTATGAATGAAAAGCTAACATGCCATCATCCTTAGGAAACAGAAGTTAGTGAGTTTTGACAGCTTTGACAATCTTTGCTTTCTTAAATTGAGTCACGTCATCAACCATTTATCTCCTGAGTGGTAAAACAGAATCAGAGTCTCTAGAAGTGCCTGAAATCATGACTGTAAAATCCGATACTGCACAACCAGCTTCTCTAAGGCTCTAAGCTCTGGGAATCATCATCATCTCACATCTAGAATGAATTTGATTTTAAAATGTTCTCTTTCTGGTTTAAAAACCGAAGGAAATCAGCACAAAATCGCACTGAGCCTGGTTCTGCTGGAGGTTTCTTCCCGTTAAAAGGGAGTTTTTCCTCTCCACTGTCGCTACAAGTATGCTTAGTGTGAGGGATTGCATTCGAGTCAATGCAATCAACTGGTTTTCCTTAGATAGAAAATGTTGAATCAATTTGACTGTATGATCTGGTTGAACTTTAAAGTGCTTTGAGATGACATGTGTTGTGTTACCCCTATATAAATAAACTAAATTGAATTGAAAACAAAAATTAGCTCATGTTTAAATACTGGAAACGATATGCAGGTTTCAAAATTTGATATATTTTAATTTAATTTGAAGTAGTGTAGTATGTGAATTTTATTTTGCATAAAAGCTCAACCAGGGTCAGAAGTAGAAAATGATCATTAACTTTATATGCAGCACATCAGTGACATGCTTTGTTCTGGTTTGTTTGTATGATTCCTCTCAAAGAAAGCTCAAAATAACTGTATACATTTCCAAAAGTTAATAATATCCAATACCTAACAAATTAAGTTCAATAAATTACTTTAAAAGTAGTTTTTATAAAGGGTAAACACTTACTTCCTGTCCAGATAGGTAATAGGCTGCCAGGAGGCCCCCAATGAACCGGATGTTGACCTCAAACACTGAAACCTCGGCATTCTGGGAGAAAAAAAGGAAACAGCAATCAAAAACTTGGTGATTCAAATATTCAGACTTTGGACAAACCTGATGGTAGTTTTGTTTCTTCACAAACCAATGTTTCTATAATATGGATCTATCTTAATCAACATCCAGCAAATACAGAATCTTTTCCATTTTTAAAAATCACATAGCAATGAATAAATAAAAAGAAAAACCCAACTTATTCCATTTTAATTATGCAGGAAAATTCATTAATGAGTATAATTTTCAGCGCAGTGGAATAAACTCTAACAAAAAGGTACAAATAAAGATGTAGCAATAGCATCAAACTATTCCCCCAAAATACATTAACAACCATTGAAAGAGATGGAAAACCTTGTTAAACATCAACAATGGTAATTAAATCCATCTTAATGTGGGTAAAACGTCCCGTAGTCATGCTGGGAAAGAAAAACAACAATAGCACAAAAATATATCACAATTATTTGTGCTATCATTGTTTTTATCAGACAAGGTAATAAAATGACCCTCAGCACTGAGTCTTTGTGTCTATAAATAGACACACATAATCATAAGATGCTACAGTACGGTTACTGTTGTTCAATAAAAGTATGTTTTAAGATCATTTGAGGTGAGAATATTATGCCTTAAAGTGTCTCTATATGGCCAATTTACTGATTTAATGCGTAATAAATAAATAAAAATGTCCTAAGTTAAGAGGACCGCGACAACCAGTTGACCTCCGAGGCTAACGGCAGACAGGGCTAACAGCAGCCGGTCTGCAGCAGCCCTCTCTGCATAGCCGTACGTGAAGGACCGCTGGCTCTGTTGGCAAGTTTTTTGTTTTGTTTGGCAAAATGTTCATTTGATTTGTGTTTATCTGAATGTGTTCATTATTATTCCCCCACTAAATGAAAAAAGTTAGAATTTATTATTATCTAGAGACTATTGATAACAGGAAGAGAAATGAAGCTCCAGACGAGCTGAGCGTTATGCTGCGTGTTCCGTTCTCCCTGAGTCCACACTTTCCTGTGTTCTTCTCTAGAACATACTTGGCGAGGATACGAGTCCGTACTCGCATTCTTGTGAATTGAGAAACGGACTAGTATTAGAAATGGATCTTCATCTTCATTTTACAGGCCATATGGTACGCCTTGTTGTAATGTATATTTTAATACCACAAATAGTGAAAGGAATTATGGAAAAATTGATGGACTGTTCGCACTTCTATAGAATAGTTTTTCAAAGCAATAGCAAAAAATACTGCGGCTTTGTAAAAAAAAATTATAATAATAATAATAAAATAAATAAAAAAATTTATAAAAAAGTAAATAAATAAAGCCAAAATTTTATAACTTTCAACCAATTCAATGGTTGAATAAACTAAACAGTTGGATTAAAAACAAATATATGTGTCTCTGTGCTAATAATTATATATTCAATACCTGAATTTTTGAATTGGAAAGGTGGTTTATTTTGTCTATATATGTATATATGATTTGCCTTTAAAATTTAGATTAATTCTAATTAATTAATCATAGACCCTATAACTAACTTGGTTAAAAATGTTAATTGTTTCCCACAGCCATTTATAAAATCTAAAAATACAGGAATCTTTTAGGTTACTGACCTATAAACAGATCAAGATGTGAACAAATTATGATTTCCAATGTACAGTAGGCTCTCCTCCGAGGAATCTTCGGGAAAAAATATATATATATATTCAGTTCTGGGCGGTTTCCCACATAGTTCTAACAATTGAGATAAAAATGCTGAGGGGCCAGCAACTTCAAAGTACTAACTCAGGTTAAAGCAGGAAACGGGGGCGGGGGCGGCGGTGGGGGGGCATTTATTTATTTGTTATATTTATTTTGGTCACTTTTCTGGTCACTTTAGTTTATTCTTTGTCAGTATTTAATAACATAACTCAGGTCTCTTACTTATTTTTCTTTAAAACAATTCTGTTATGGTTAAAAAAGTTGGTTAAAGATTTAATTTGAAGTCTGTGTTTGTGTTTTTTATTAAAATTAAATCATTTAGCAATATTATAAAAAGTCCAGGCAGAGCTGCACATAAAATATGATTTCAAATCTTTTCAATAATTATCGATATTGATCAATATGCATTTTTTTTTATCGATAAGCTTTTTTTTTTATATCGCCCAGCCCTACTCCGATATGCTGTCAAGTCGTTTCAATGGACGCCAACTGTGATACGTCTCTTTTTTAGCAGAATCCAGCATTTAGTAAAAGGCCAGACTTTGTGTTGCTAGCAGCAGATTTGAACCAGTGGTTAAATTGGCCTTTTAAGGCGATAATCCATGTTTATATCTGTATTTATATTCACATGCAGAACTATATCAAGGCGATTCTGCGTCCTTGTCGTCATTAAACAGTTTTTTGAGCTTCTGAATCCCAGCTGCAACTGATATAAACTGACTGGATGCCATGTTACAGACAGGAGCTCTACTTTACGTGACTGAAATCTATCCTCTCTGCTAATCCTGCAGCTTTCTGTTGTGGTCTGGGATGCAAGGTTCTTTGAGAGTAACCTTAATATCAATGTACACAATGTCAAGAGCATTGATTGCTTGCAGCACTAGGAAAGACATCATTCGAATACCAGGGATTCTCCCTCTGCCTGTTGAAATTAGTGTCATAGACTCCGACCGTCCTTGAGGTCTACACCAGATACAGAAAATATTTAAGAAGGTTAAGCTTTAGCTTAGTGTGACTGCAGTGTCAAATTGACTGAAAAGAAAATAAACGAATCAGAATATTATTACAATATGCCAATACAGCATTGCAGTTGCATGTTTTATATGATCATGGGGGCCTAGATTAAATACATTTACTAAGCTGCACTATTTGTGCATCTCAATGTATAAAACAAAGACAACCTCATCGGTTTGGGTCAGATTTGTTGGCATACTGTAGCGTAACCTTACACCCCGGCCGCCCCACGATGGCAGCCCACTGCTCCCCGAGGGTATGGGTTAAATGCAGAGGTCAATTTCTCCAATGTGAGATCAATAAATTATTCAATTCAATTATTTTATTTATTTATTTTTTTATGAGTTTCACCTATAGTCTCAATTAGCTCAGTTTGAAGGAAATGCAGTTTCAACCTATTGCTTTAGAAATCTGTGCTATTCTGTAATGCTGCTCTAAAACTGATCAGTGTCACTTTCTGTTCCCTAATCATTGGTTTCTGGGGCTTTTTGCTCACCGAGCCCGACATAAATTCAAAAGCTCAGATGTGCGTCTTTCTTTTTCCCCCAACGATCTTCACAGATAGACATTGCTTCTGCTGTTAAAACACTTTACAATAAACCTCTCCATCCAAAGAGGGAGATTTTCTTGTTAAGCCCAATCCCAATTTCAGTCAGAATAATTTCCTTATCAGCGGTTCTTGAATGGATATCTGTCCTTTGAACCACTTGCCTCTATTCTCATGATCCAGGAGCCGTTTGAGGCAGGGCTGATTGTGGCTTTTGTCTGGAAAAGACCTGAATCACTCCTAAAACAAAGGAGACCTTTTGCCTTTGATGCTCTATGAAGAAATACCCAATTACAAAAGAGAGAGGAATTAACTATTTGAAAGTACCCACAGTAGTAACTGAAGCTATCATTACATTTCTGTCAATCCAAATGTAATCATTTAGCAATACTTTTACTCGTGAGTTATAAAGAAAGAAAAAAGTGGGAAGAAAAGTTGCAAAAATATGCAAACTGCATTCAGCATGTTAGGCCTTGGATAAAATTTCATAAGTTCAAATCGTGTCATAAGGTCAGACTTCTGCCAAAAGTGCACGCATAAACATTAGAAAGAGCGGTTTTATTTAAAATGCACATCAACTATTCTCAACATGCATTTTGAAGTTTCATGATTGCCGATTCAGTTAAAGACCGCAGTATGTGAAATACCTCGGTTCATGCTTGATCTCTTCTCTGTTGGTTTGATTTTTAGGAGACACTAGATCAATTCAATTCAGTTTATTTATATAGCACCAATTCATAATACATGTCACCTCAAGGTACTTTACAGTTCACCAGATCATCCAGTCAATTGATTCAAAGTTTTCTATCCAAAGAAAACCAGTTGATTGGATCATCTCATTGACTGGAAGGCAATCCCTCACACCAGTGTGTCCTTCTTAGTGTGATCCTATCTAATCGTATGTGGACCCGTTTCTGTGTTAAATTTATTCGCTTTGAGGGTGGATTAGGTAAACTGCCTGTGATTGGCTACTTTTCAGGAAATTAAACAACTGAATAACTGTTTTCTTCCGAGTTGCAGTTAGTAACGTTAGCAAAGCATCTTCAGGGTAATCGCTGTCCTCTTAAAGAATAAAGTTGGTTAAACGAAAACATTATTGAATAACCTGCAGATTGAGAGCAAATAGTTTATCAGTCATGAATGTTTTCTGATGGCAGTGACGTTATGTTCTAAAATGATCAATATTAAACTCGGAACTTTGTATGAGCTAAGCTAACGATAGCTTAACTGTTTATATTGAGGAAAGTGAAGCTTGAATTAGTTCTTGTTCATAGCTGAACACAGAAATTTATGTTTACTAAGGATGAACGATTTTGCCAAAAATCAAAACTGCGATCAATTTCAACCAAAATGCAACTGTGATTTTTGGGATTCCCCACCACACTAAGCACAAATATGTAAAAGTTTCACTTAAGGGTTTCGGTTTTTCATGACCTTGTTGTAGGACTTTACTGTAAACTTTGTGTGAAAAAATTCCTACAACTGTCTCTTCCCTCCTGTGCAGTGGCAGAACAATTTTAAGCATAGTACCGTCACCTAAAAGGCTGGAGAGAGAACTTCACATACCTTATTTATCTTAGTCTTATTAAAGGTATAGAGGACGATCTTTTATTTCCGTGTGGATCATCTAAATAAGTGGTCCTCCTAATTGTCAGTCATTCTGGTGAAATGTTTACATAAAGCCGTCCTACGTGCTCGCCCCGTTAGCTACATTTTTCTTTGCATGTGCACTTTCAGGC